TCCGCATGCCAATGATGGAATATGATATTCCGTTATTGGATCGAAACACGATATTTACTTCATGGCAAGGGAAGTTACGAGCAGTTCTTGTGCAGATGGATTTGAAGGAAGCCTTACTTGGCTTTGATAAAATGCATTTACTTGGATGCAGGATGACAAGCAGCATAGGTATCGAAATGCTCAATCCCAAATTCACTCATATCTATCAAATCAAATTCTTCATGATGTTCTAAAGGAGAAAGTGTCGCTGCGTTGTGGTTGAAATTGGAGCAACTTTGTATGACAAAGAGTTTGACCAAGAAGTTACACTTGAAATAGTGCTTGTATTCTTACCAGATGTCTGAATGAATGTAATTGGATGATCACTTAGCTATGTTCAAAGAAATCCTAGTTGATTTGGCGTTGATGTTGTTGTGTTCAGTGTCGTCGTCATATGTGACTTCTAAAGATACTATTCTTTATAGTCGGGATATCTCACTGTGGAAGAGGTCTATGATGCTTAACTATCTAAGAAGAAGATAATACATCTTGCTAGAGGATCTGGGAGTCAGGCTGAAAGCCTGATTGTTCGTGGGAGAAATCAAATATGAATCTTGATAGGAATATGAGCGGCAGATCTAAATCCAGACATGCAGAGAAAGTATGTCACTACTGTATGAAGAAGAGACACATCAATGCTGATTGCTATTCGTTGAAAAACAGAAATAAAACTGCTGGTGCTTCGGAAAAAGGAAAGTAACATGTTAACACATCGGAGGCCGGTGTTGTGGAAGATGGGCAAAGTGAAGGAGAGTTTCTTATGATTTCTGACATGTTTCAAATCTTGTGAGGAATGGGTTCTTGACTCTGTATATATTTTCCATATGTGTCCTAACTGGGACTGGTTTACAACATATAAAAGACTTTTGAGAGGTGCATTGATTATGGAAAACAACTCGTCTTGCAAAATTATCCAGGTTGGTACAGTCAGAATCATAATATTTGATGATGCTAATAGAACACTTACAAATGTAAGTCACATTTCAAAATTGAAGCGAATCTCATATCTTTGAGTACACTTGACTCAAAAGGTCATAAACACACCAGTGAAGATGGAGTTTTAAAGATGAGTCGGGGCACTCTTGTTGTCATGAAGGAAAAAAAAACTCTACACGGTCATACATTTTATAGGTTCCACGGTTAAAGGAGATGTAGCAATTTCTATTCTTCTTTAACTGATGAGGAAGTTACTAATTTTGACATATACGACTTGGACATATGAGTGAGATAGGGATGACAGAGTTGAGTAGGAGAGGACTTCTTGATGGGCAAAAGACCAATAAGATGAAGTTTTGTGAGCATTGTGTCCTTGGAAAATAGAAGAGTCAGATTCACAAAAGGAGACACACACGAAGGAAACACTTGAATATATCTATTTAGATTGTTGGAGACCAGCCAGGATATCTTCAAAAGGAGGTGCTTATTACTTGTTGACAGCGATTAATGATTTTTTCAGGAAAGTTTGGGTATTTTTTTTAAAATAGAAGAGTGACGAGTATAGATTGATGGTGTAAATCTCCTTCATGTCATCAATAAATCAATCTGTACACAATGGCGTACAATAAGCATTACCCTTGCATAATACGGCAAGAAAATAAAAAACCTGTCATATAACTGATCAATCTAAAATAATCTAAGAAACATGCCAAGAATTATGGATACCAGTTCCTCATTTTGATCGTCAACGTGAAATAATACTAAAATAAGTAAAAGATTTATAAAACCATTAAGTAAATAACTACTCCTATGGAGAGCTTTCCTCAAAAAACCATTCATGGAAGTCAAACAAGAAAGCAATAAAAGAAAACCAAGTTGACACGTTTGGCTTCAGTTTGATGCCCATTATTCCGTCAAAACGAGTTTTGTAATAGTGAATTGTTGGAGAATGTTGATTAAAAAGTAAAAAAAAAAAGTTTAAAATTTACGCCCTTGTTTGAGTCCCATTTTGATGGGGAAAGTGAATTTTTGAATAGTGTATTAATGTGAAATGTGCGGTTAAAAAATAAGGAAAAGTTTTGAATTTACGTGTAATATTATTTTATTGAAGAATGTGTGGTTGAAATTATGTCAAAACACTGTTTAAGACTTCATTTTCTCCAAAAAAATGGGGATCAAACAGAGGCTACATGCAATTATTTAAAGACCCTTTTTTTTTTTTTTTTTTTTTTTTTTTTGGTAACGTGCATTGACCGTTGCTATAGATGTTTTAGCAACGTTTAAAGAATGTTGTCGTTAATTACGCGTTGTGGAAACTTGGTTTTGGCAACGTGCATTGAACGTTGCCAAAAGATGTTTTGGCAACGTTCAATAAACCAAGTTTTTGCAACGCGCAATGAATATTGTCAAAACTCTTCGCTCTACGGCAACGTTGAAACCCATAACAGACGCATGAATGTTGCGATAGGTCTACGGCAACGTTTTTTGCCCGTTGCAAAAAGTGATTTTTTGTGTAGTGGTGTTTCAGTTTCGTTTATTACGACCATGATGCTTAGTACACAACGTATTGATGTAACATCATTTGAATATTCCCTGGTGGACAATATAGGATAACTACTTGACCCAATTAGTCTTCCTATATATTAACGTTGTAAGGTCCCTTGGTTGTTAAATATCAAGAAATCCAAGTTCATTGACATAATTAGAGCTGAAGCAACATTATTGATAATGGCAAGTTCTATTGTTGGGTCCAATTGGAATGGCCTCCATCTCAAGCCCTATGCTAAGATGTCACAAACTATAACTTGGAATCCTATGACAAAGCTGTACATTCCAACGCCCAAAGATCAAACCCTTTTCGTATGCAATAACATTAAAAGGTAAGCCAATTTCAGGTTTCCCGTGATTTACATGCTCAATTATATTTTCATTTTCATCACAGAACAAGCATTAATGAGATCAACTCGCCACCAAAATATATGCAGCTACTTCATATGTATATACGAAATATCATTTAATTTTTAATTTTATTTAGGAAATTTGCAGTCCATGCCAACAGCGTACTAGGAGATCCATTGCCATCCGATCAACCTTCTAGTTCCTCGTAAGTTAAATTTTTATTTATTTTTACTTAAACTAGTGGGCCAAAAGATTGATTAATTATCAGTTTTTTTTTTTTCTCATCTGCAATTGTTTTTATATTTCTCTTTGCTTTAATTCATGCAGCAGGGGTTGGATTCTGGGACTTGTTGTATCATTAGTCCTACCCTTTTTCACCTAAAAATGGGGTCCATTATGGTCACTTAAAAGTAAGGATCAAGTATATTCTGTGTGTAAAATTGTAAATTTTAAGTTTTCAAGTCGCAAATTATGGAGTTATATATAAAGCAGATCTTGTTGACGGGTTTTGAAGTAACTCATGCTCAGCCACCCCTTACTAGCCCGGCGCAATTATTTTCTCTAGGAGTTCATCGCGTCTAAAATTATCCGAGCGCTAGGCCTAAAAGCGTTCGAGTATCTTTCTATTTCTTTTTAGGCATGTATAAGTCACCCAACATATTTTGACACTTCTAAATGTAAAATCATTAATTAAGATGCAATAGAGTTAAAAACGTATCATTTTTTAATATGCAGATAAAATTGAATCGGGGATAGAAACGGTAGAACAAATAGTGGAAGTTGTCGAAAAGGTGGCGGAGGAAGTTGATAAAGTAGCGGAGGATATCGCAGACGATCTGCCGGATGGAAAACTCAAAAATGTTGTGGATTTTGTTGAAGAAATGGCTGAGAAGACAGCTAACTAAAAGTGCTGATTCAGTTGGACATTTTATTGATAAGGTATATATAATACTTTTCTGGCTTGCTACGTGCTTTTCTGAGTCATTTTTTTTTTTTAATTAACATTAGTTCTTGATCATCAAGTTAACCTTATACCATTAAAAAAGACCAAGTTGGAGCAACCAAGTTCTAACAAAGTAAGTTTTCACTTTTGTTTCTTAATTTTTGTCCTTTGACATATTTAAGCTTGAATGAACTAGGATTATTGCCCCCAGGGCATATCTCCCAGTGGCAAAAGGGAGGGCGGATAGGGCTCAGCGCGGCAGTGTGCAGAGTTCGATTCCCCGCAAGGTGGAATTGACTTTGTTGCAAGCGGGAGTTACCATATGGGTTAATAGCCTTGGCCTATCCATGTGCTCTCCACCCTGATGCCTGGGAGGCACATCCTGCGATTTATCTCCTCCACGATAGTCCAGGGCAAGGTCGGTGGGAGCCCTTAAAGTTGGGGTTCAACCTTTTTTGAACTAGGATTATCTTTCCAGGTAGTTAGTTAGTCAAATCAAATTTATGTCAGCTACAGAAGAGTTCACCCCACAATCCCAAAAATCCATCATCACTTATATGAATAATTGCATGTTAGAGCATGAGTTCATAATATCTATTGGCTATTGCTATGTATTTCCATTTTTTATTATTATTTTTATTTCAACTTTGAAAAAGGGCAGTGATTACATTAATTTTGTATTTAGAAAAAGATAATAAAGTTAATTAGCTTAGAGCGTGCTAATTAATAACTAAATTGATAATGCAGGTTCAAGAAGCAGAAGATAAGGTGGAGTCCTTTGTTGAATCTCTCAAGGGTGAACCCAAAAAGTCTCCAAAACAAGCAAAGAAATTGTAAATAACGATTAGAATATGTATTTAATTACACGAAAATCGATTTAATTAATAACTGATTGTCTATAAATTATTTTTAGTATTTTCAAGTGTATGTAAATATTCTTTATTCTCTCTCTCTCCAAAGAGGTTGCTAGTTTTTCCATATTATAATCAAGTTCATTTTCGTACATTTGCAATAAAAAAATATACAATTGAGCTCCAGAAATTTTCACTTATTATTAGTTGAACACATTTTATTACCATGTAGAGGAATGGTACGGGTTAGTGCTATTTACTTCAAGTTTTTAGTTAAAAATCATTTGCCTTATCGACCCAAATTAAGAACTCCATCTATAATTAGTCATAAATTACATATAGTGTCGTCGCAAGTGTAACTTCAAGAAAAAATAAAATAGAGAGAAACACAAATTAAGAACTCCATCTATAAAAATAAATGAAAGGCCCCATTCCACCTTCTGTTCGAGCTGGAATATCCATTCCTTCATAATCTTTATCCACATAAAGAAAAGTAACATATGGATAAAGTTCCCAACAGTTTCCAACCATAGACCTTAAAAACGTCAATCTTTTTAAGGATCAGAGTCCTATCTTCGTCCAATTCATGTCAGTTCTGTCACACAATGACATTGCAGCAACTGAAATTTAGGATTTAGAATCTTACAAAATTATCATTCTGTATATAGAACAAGAACCCTAATGGCGGATGTAAGAAGATTTGTAGGGACAGTGAAGTGGTTCAGTGTGCAAAAAGGGTTTGGGTTCATTGCCCCGGAAGAAGGTGGTGATGATCTTTTTGTGCACCAGACCGAGATCCAGTCCGATGGGTTCCGGACCCTCCGAGAGGGTCAGAGGGTGGAGTTCAAGGTTGATAATAGAGAAGATGGGCGAAGCAAAGCTGTTGATGTAATTATTTTGGCAAGAAATTATAATTCAGGTGCCAGACGCGGTGGTGGTTTCGGTAGGGGTGGTCGTAGAGGTGGGAGGTTCGGTGGTGGACATGGAGGAGGTGATGGAGTGGAGTGTTATAATTGTGGAAGAATAGGTCACTTGGCAAGAGACTGTTATGGAGATGGTGGGGGCGGCAGTGGTGGTCGTGGTAGTGGAAATAGGGGATATGGTGGTGGCCGCCGGAGAAATAATGATGGTGGTGGAGGGTGTTACAACTGTGGAGAAGAAGGGCACTATGCAAGGGATTGCCCCGCTCCCCAAATACGAGAGTAAAACTTGAACAGATTTTCAAGCCAATTGATTCTTATGGTTTAGTGTTTAATTTGGAGCGCATTGTTTAAAGAACTTAGAAAAAATGAAAAATAAATTCACTTTTCTGAGTTATGGATTTTCTTGGGATTATCATTTCTTTTCTTTTTTTAATTAAAACCAAGGCAAATGTGTAGTATTTATTCATAGAGAAAACAGAAAAATATTCAATTTCTTATTTTTATGTACTTAATTTTTTTGGAATCCCAAATGACCATTATATTTCTTTCTATCATTATGTGTTGCTTCTTGATTGTAAATTGTTGAAGAGAGGTGCTGTATGTACAGATATAAACACTTTACAGATCACACACAACTCATTTTTTGGCACTATTTTATTTCGCAGGGGACCTACTCCAATGTGAAACTTCTGTAAGGTTTCTATCAAAAAAATTCTGTACAACTAGAATTATTGATTGTTGAATATATACGCTTCTTAGTTAAAAGAAATTATAGAACTCCAAAGTTCATATTTTATCCTTGGATGATTTGTATTACTACGAGTTAGTTAGAAATATAATCTGTTTATCTATTTTTACATATATTATGTTTTGTAAGTTTTTGAATATTGAAAGTTATTATTAGAACCTCTACAGTGCATTCTATTAATTGTTTGGCACGTTAGCATAAGAAAGATTTTCAATCTATATTGCATTAATTTTATTAATATTGCATTAATATATGATAAAATGAATAATGATAATTCAAAACACTATTGATAGAACAAAAGTTCCTGTGAAATTGAGTCAGAACTACATTCTCCGATGAAACTTTATTAGAGAATGTAATCGTAACCCTACTATTACATGGACCATTGTACATAAACCATGCTTACAATGACTGAAAAATTCGTTTCCAAATATATTTTTGAATTTCTATCTATGTATTCTTTATTTTTTTAAAATAAAAATAAAACTATGTATAAATCTGTATAAGAAATATAAATTTGAAAAGGAAATATTAATTTTGTTGAATCACTCCATCAAACAAAGCTTTTAAATATGGACAAAACTCTTGACATTAATAATTTTTCTCTACCAAGTCAGCTTGAAAAATTCCAGTTAACTTGTATTGGAAAAAGAACTTTTTAAATTTAATATATTTTTACTTATTTCACACATTTTTTAAACAATCTATAAAAAAAAAAGTTAAACACTAACCTTAAGGGTCCCCCACCACCCCTGCCTTGGAGTATCGTGAGGGAGGTAAATCGCAGGTTATGCCTCCAAGGGTACAGGGTGGAAGGCTGCTTGTACACTTGCACTTACCCAAGAGCCAAATCCATATTTCAGGATTCGAACCCTTGACGCAGCAGCCTCAAGCAAAGCTGGATTTCTCCACCCTCCCCTTTACCACTTGGAGATGTGCCTTGGGGGCCATTTTTTTTATTTTTTTAAACAATCTATAGTTGTATGGGAGATGCTCTCAAGTGTTTAGATCAAATTATAAGTTACTAAATTTATAATATGATTGAAATAAGCAGTGAATGATTGGATAATAGTTAAGGATACTACAAAATGTGTAGTTAAAATTAAAATTTAATTATAAAAAATAAAATGTAATTACGTTTTGTGTTTTCCAAATATAGGTACTGAAAGGATGGCACAATGATGCAAACCATGTACTGACTGATTTCATTAGAAAATGTTGGTTTGTTGCAAAAACATGTTTTGCCCAAAATCGCGTTTTTACCCAGGATGAACGCTCGAGATGATGCCATGTGTCAACCCCACTATCGTTGGATGGTTGACTTTTTGGTGACTCTTCTAAAAGGGGTCATAGGGTTTGAAACGCGTGATTTTTTTGCTTCTTCAAGACTCTTCTTTTCTTCTCTGGCCATTTGTGTTCTCCGTTGCATTTTCTCTAAAAATCAAAATTCTCTTTTGATTTTTGGTTTACTCTCTCAAATGCTGTAATCTTGGCTGATTTCAACTCGAATTGAGTGTTGTGTTCTTGTGTGAACTTTCGATTTTGAGAGAAGACTGTGATTTTTACTATGATCTTGTGTGGTTACGGTCTTAATGCCAAAACATCCTTATATCAATGCCTTGGTTCTAATCAATTCTGGCAATGGGTTTCCTGGAGACAAAAGCACTTGAATTTTTGGGAGATTCTTGGGTTTTACTGCCTTAGGGCACTTTATAATGAGATTTCCTTTAACATCCTTTTTCGATATTTAGTTTTCTGCATATTTTTGTTGTTTATATTGTTTGATGTTTTGAACCTTCTCTTAATAGTGGTATCAGAGCAGTTGAACGGAGGTTCTTAGCTCTGATTTGTGTAGATCTGTAACCTATGACTCTTGTTTGAGCTTATCGTCGTTATTTCTTGAAACCCTATTATAGGGCTTTGGTGATATCATTCTTGTTTTACGGTTTATAGAACAGATTATGTGTTTATACTCCCTAAGTTTACTGCACCTGTGATTATAACCTTTGATCTGCGACTATCTTGGTGATTCATTTGTCCAGAAACCTTAAGTTGTCTGGAATCTGAGGGTTACCTTGACTTAAAGTCAAAAAACTTGATATTAATATCCTGCTATAATCTTTATTGTAGTCAATATCCGTTCTTATGATTTAAATGTGATTGATGTTGAGAATAGCACACTGTGATTGTATTACCGTGAACAATTTCTATGAAATAATTATCTCATGTGTGGTGATACTTGATTTGTTTTAAGTTGTAAGTACTTGCAAGGTGCCTGCCCGATCTGTATATACTGTGTCTGCATCCAGTTTTTTTTTTTTTTTTCAAAAATAATGACAACTACAAAATTTGAATTAGATATTTTTAATGGCAAACGAGACTTCAGTCTCTGGCGCCAAAAAAGAGGGAAATTTTGTTACAGTAAAAATGTGCTAAGGCCATTAATGAGACATGGCCAGATGATTTAGAGGAAACAAAGAAAACTAAATTTGATGAAACTGCATGGAGTTCAATTTTTCTGCATTTGTCTGACAATGTACTTAGAGAAATTGGTGAGACTAAGACTGCTGCTGAATTGTGGAAAAAGTTAGAAGATACATATTTGAATAAATCTATGCCTAATAAAGTGTATCTTCTAAAACAGTTCTTTGGTTTTAAACTTAACCCATCTCTTGATCTTGAGGTTAAAATAGATAGATTTAATAGGCTATCCCGTGACTTTTTCGACTGTGATGAAAAACTCTCAAAATATCAGCTAGTTGTGATTTTGTTAAATTCAATTGATTATAAGTACAAAGATGTTAAAAGTGCCATTGAATACGGGAGGGAAACTCAAACTACTGATTTTATTATCAATGTTTTAAGAAATAAAGAGTTAGAGTTAAAATCTGAAAGGAAAGAATCTATCAATGGGGTGAATTTGATGGCTAAGTCTAAAACTAATCCCAAGATTATGAAATAAGAAACCTGGACACAAGAAAATGGGAAATCCTAAAGATAAAATGAAAATTAAGACTAAAGAAAAAAGGTGTTTATATTGTCTTGGAGAGGGTCATTTTATCAAAAATTGTCCCAAAAGACTTAGTAATTTGAAAAATAAATCAAAAGAAGATGGTAATGCAGCCTTAGTCTATAACAATGAGACTTTAATTGATAAAGTTTATGTAGTTGTAAACTGTCCACCTTGTCAAGAGTGAATTCTTGACTCGGGCTGCACCTACCATATGTGTCCAAACAAAGAGTGGTTCACTGAGTTTGAAAATGTAACTGGTGGTAAGGTTTTAATGGGTAATCACATGACATGTCAGGTTAAGGGAATATGAACTATCACTTTGAAAGTAAAAGGAAATGAAGAATTTTTTTTGGAAAAGACCGGATATGTTCCTGATTTACAAAGAAATCTTATTTTCTTGGGGGTTCTAGATGACATAAACTATGACATATTGATTAACAAGGAATACATTAAAATCTTAAGGGGTTCACAAGTAATTGTTGAAGCCCCAAAGAGACATGGACTGTACATTTTACAAAAAAAATTTAGACTCCACTTCAACAGCAATCTCAGTCCAAAATGATAAGTTACAAATATGGCACAAAAGATTGGGTCATAATAGTGACAAAGGATTTCAGATTTTGAAAAAACAGGGTACCTTTAGAAAAAATACCATAGAAAAACTTAGTCTTTGTAACTATTGCATTCTTGGAAAACAAAATAGATTACTTTTCTTGCTTGGAATGCATAAATCTATGTCTGTACTTGAATATTTGCGTGCTAATATTTAGGGACCAACTTCTGTAACAATTCATTCTGGTTTTAAATATTTTTTGTCAATTATTGATGATTTTCTAGAAGAAAAAACAGGACTTTTCTTTTAAAATCAAAATCTGACACTTTTAATGTTTTCAAAAATTGAAAAACATTGATTGAGAACCAAGCTGAGAAAAAAATTAAGGTCTTAAGAACTGATAATGGTTTGGAATTCTGCAATTTTAAATTTGATGAGTTGTACAAATCTTCTGGCATATCAAAACATAGAACAATAGCACACACCCCACAACAAAATAGTTTAGCTGAAAGAATGAATAGAACAATTCTTGAAAAAGTGAGATGTAAACTCTTAAGTTCTGGCCTGCCTAAGATTTTTTTGGAGGGAACCTGTTAAAACTGTAAGTTATCTTATTAGTAGAAGCCCTTCTAGTGCTATACATTTTAAAAATCCTAAAGAAATGTGGAGTAGAAGACCTGTTCACTTCAATAACTTGAAGGTTTTTGGATGTGCAGCCTTTGCACACCAATCTGAAGGCAAATTAGAACCAATGGCCCTTAAATGTATATTGTAGGCTATGGTGATGGGGTGAAGTGGTATAGGCTATGGGTAAGGGAAAACAAAGGCTATAAAATCATAAGTAGTAAAAATGTTGTATTTAATGAGCATGATTTGCCTTGTCTTAAATTTGAAAATCAAATAGAACACTTAAGTCAGGTTGAAAATGTGGAAAGAGAAGTTGAGATTGAGGTAAAGCAGTCTAATATGAAACTCATCAGACTAATGCTCAACCTGATGAGAGAAATGAGGAAATACCCGGTGATGGTATTCCTAATGATGAATCTGATGCTGATTTAGAAACAGATCAGTCTTTAAATAACTATCAACTTGTTAGAGATAGGTAAAGAAGACAGATAAGACCTCCAAATAGGTTTGATGATGATGTTTCTTTGTTATCTTATCAAAGTATGATTGAAAATGA